TAGACTCTAGAGTCTGAAATGATAAACAGATAAATTTAAAAATTGATAGGGAATTTTCTTGTCTTTATTTCAATATTTCATACAAGTTTTGTGATAGTTGATTGAAACATCCTCTGGTATTTTTATGGCGTATGGATGTCTGACAGATGGACAGACGAATGAACAATGGTATAATATTTACATTTTGCCTTTGCAGGACAATGTACAAAAAATTTAAAACAACCATTGACCTAATGACCCATAAATCAATAAAGGTCTTCCTCACCCCCATTGGGCAGTATCCAACCATTATCTAACCAAATCATACACATTTGATTCAAAAGATAGCATCCTAAAACATCAAAAAGATATTCTAAGACATCCAAACTAGAGGCTCTCAAGAGCCTGTGTCGCTCACCTGATTCTACTTTGGTTTTGGAAATCATGTAAAAATAGATTAAAATCATAACAGATACCCTAATAATGAGTGAGGCCAAATTTGGTTTAATATTGGTCCTGTAATTTAATAAAAAATCCTGGTGGCCATCTTGAACAGTAAATCGGCAACAAAGTAGCAACACTTAATCAGCACCTCATAAGAAACATTTATGCCATGTTTTGGTTTCATTCCATTTAGTGCACCTCTAGAAGAAGCATTTGTATGTATTTCCTATAGGGTCTTATGTTAAAGGAAGTCCCCCCATTGGCGGCCATCATGGATGAAGGATCAGCTTCAAAGTAACAAAACTTAGTCAGCACCTCATAAGGAACATTCATGCCATGTTTGGTTTCAATCCATTCAGTATGTGGTTCTCTAAAAGAAGACATTTGTATGTATTGTCCATAGGGTCCTTTGTTAAACATTGTCCCCATCTGGCAGCCATCATGGATGAAGGATCAGCTTCAAAGTAACAACACTTGGTCAGCACCTCATAAGGAACATGCATGCCATGTTTGATTTCATTCCATTCAATGGTTCTCTAAAAGAAAACATTGTACGTATTTCTCATAGGGTCCTATGTTAAACTAAGTCCTCCGCTGGCGGCCATCTTGGATTATGGATCGGCTTCAAAGTAACAACACTCGGTCAGCACCTCATAAGGAACATTCATACTATGTTTGGTTTCATTCCATTCAGTGGTTCTCTAAAAGAAGACATTTGTATGTATTTCCCATAGGGTCCTATGTTAAACTAAGTCCCCCGCTGGCGGCCATCTTGGATTATGGATCGGCTTCAAAGTAGCAACACTCGGTCAGCACCTCATAAGAAACATTCATGCCATGTTTGGTTTCATTCCATTTAGTGGTTCTCTAAAAGAAGACATTTGTATGTATTTCCCATAGGGTCCTATGTTAAACTAAGTCCCCCGCTGGCGGCCATCTTGGATTATGGATCGGCTTCAAAGTAACAACACTCGATCAGCACCTCATAAGGAACATTCATACCATGTTTGGTTTCATTCCATTCAGTGGTTCTCTAAAAGAAGACAATTGTATGTATTTCCCATAGGGTCCTATGTTAAACTAAGTCCCCTGCTGGCGTCCATCTTGGATTATGGATCGGCTTCAAAGTAACAACACTCGGTCAGCACCTCATAAGGAACATTCATACCATGTTTGTTTTCATTCCATTCAGTGGTTCTCTAAAAGAAGACATTTGTATGTATTTCCCATAGGGTCCCATGTTAAACTAAGTCCCCCGCTGGCTGCCATCTTGGATTATGGATCGGCTTCAAAGTAACAACACTCGGTCAGCACCTCATAAGGAACATTCATACCATGTTTGGTTTCATTCCATTCAGTGGTTCTCTAAAAGAAGACATTTGTATGTATTTCCCATAGGGTCCTATGTTAAACTAAGTCCCCCGCTGGCGGCCATCTTGGATTATGGAATCGGCTTCAAAGTAACAACACTCGGTCAGCACCTCATAAGAAACATTCATGCCATTTTTGGTTTCATTCCATTCAGTGGTTCTCTAAAAGAAGACATTTGTATGTATTTCCCATAGGGTCCTATGTTAAAATAAGTCCCCCGCTGGCGGCCATCTTGGATGATGGATCCGCTACAAAGTAACAACACTTGGTCAGCACCTCATAAGGAACATTCATGCCATGTTTGGTTTCATTCCATTCTGTGGTTCTCTAGAAGAAGTTCAAAATGTAAAAAGTTAATGCCGACGACGGACGACGCCGGACGCCAAGTGATGAGAAAAGCTCACTTGGCCCTTCGGGCCAGGTGAGCTAAAAAGGAATAAAACTTGCTTGCTAGTATCAAAAGAGGAGATGCAATTTGAGTTTTCACAATTACAGGTAAACATTTGTCTACATCAAAAGCAAGAATCAAAAATAATACTTTGTAGGACAAAAATTAAAAACAATAAAATAATGTACAAAGATCAAACAAATGAGAGGAGACATATTTAACTACAAAACAACTTTTCATCAAAGATTCAGTAGGTAAGCTTTTATGACCCACAAAAGTATATGTGATTTACTTTATATGAAAGGTCAACAATACTTTGTAACATCTATTTGTTGTAGAAATAAATGTGTCATAAGGATTAGAACTTATTTTCGTGTTTAAGTAGTCTGGGACTGGACTATGCTTAGATGTTTATATCTTTTTGACTTTGGACTTTGCTAACTTAAAGAATTGAACATTGTGGGCCATTTTACTGTATTATTTGTTGGCAAGCCTCTTCTATAAAAAAAAACTAGAGGCTCTCAAGGGCCTGTGTCGCTCACCTGTATTTACTGATGCTTTGGAAATAATGTAAAATAAGGTTAAAATCATAATTAATAGTATTAGATATTAGAGATTATAATGATATCTAAGATAAAAACAAAAAACTGCAAAATTTTTGTAAAATTACTAACTCAGGGGCAGCAACCCAACAACGGGTTGTCAGATTCGTCTGAAAATTTCAGGGCAGATAAATCTAAATCTGATGAACATTTTTGCCACCTGTCAGATTTGCTCTAAATGCTTTAGTTTCAGAGATATAAACCAAAAACTGCATTTTACCTCTATGTTCTATTTTTAACCAAGTCGGCCATGATGGTTGGAAGGCGGGGTCATCAGACAAATTTTTTAAACTTTATACCCTATTAATGATTATGGCCAAGTATGGTTAAATTTGTCTCAGTAGTTTCAGAGAAAAAGATTTTTGTAAAAGATTACAAAAATTTACGAAAAATTGTTAAAAATTGACTATTAAGGGCAATAACTCCTAAAGGGGTCGACTGACAATTTTGGTCATGACAACTTATTTGTAGATCTTACTTTGCTGAACATTATTGCTGTTTACAGTTTATCTCTATCTATAATAATATTCAAGATAATAACCAAAAACTGCAAAATTTCCAAAAAAATTACCAATTCAGGGGCAGCAACCCAACAACTGGTTGTCAGATTTGTCTGAAAATTTCAGGGCAGATAGATCTTGACCTGATAATCAGTTTTACCCATGTCAGATTTACTCTAAATGCTTTGGTTTCAGAGATATAAGCCAAAATCTACATTTTACCCCTATGTTCTATTTTTAGCCATGGCGGCCATCTTGGTTAGTTGGCGGGGTCATCGGACACATTTTTTAAACAAGATACCCTAATGATGATTGTGGCCAAGTTTGGTTTAATTTGGCCATGTGGTTTCAGTAAAAAGCTAACGATGACGGACGACGGACGCCATGTGATGAGAAAAGCTCACTTGGCCCTTCGGGCCAGGTGAGCTAAAAATGAATGGAAAATGTGTCCATGGGGCACAGATGATGACTCTGCTTGCATATAAAGTTATAAAGGGACATAACTCAAGAACGGTAAAAAGGACACAACCAAAATTCAAACTTGATCTGTGTTTTGTGGTAATAACCCTTTTGTCATAACATTTGGTTGAGGCAAACTAAAGTTAGAGAAGGGAAACTAATTTTTGGACGTGTGTGGCGGGAGCATAATAAATGGAGAATGTGTCCATGGGACAAAGATGATGCCCCCGCTTGCATATAGCATTATAAAGGGACATAACTCAAGAACAGTAAAGGAGATGCAACCCAAATTAGAACTTGATCTGTGTTTTGTGGTAATAAGCATTGTGTATAAGTTTCATAACATTTGGTTGAGGCAAGCTTAAGTTAGAGAAAAAAACTAATTTTGGGACATATGGACGGATGGACAAGGGTAACACATAATGCCCTCTCCAGTGGGGTAGGGGCATAAAAATGCAAGCACTTTTAGGATACATGTATCAAAAATATTTGTTAATGTGTTTAAAATGACCTAATACTAAACAGATAATAATTGATTGATTAATTGGTTTCACTTTCTTGATTCTGAAATATATGATTTAATTTTGCAATTATATATTATATACAAAATTGTATTAAATTAAATGCTTTTAAGAGCAAGAAACACTCACTTGACAAAAAAAAAATGCCATAACATTTACATTACATGTTTGCTTATTTGTAGATCTTTTCTCTCTATCTCTCTATCTGTTATAGCAAATTTCTGAAAATGCCAAAAAAGGTGATAATAGTCATTTAAGGGAAAATATCCTATAAGGAATCAACAGAAGTTTTCAGCTGATTTACAAGAAATCTTATCTTGCTGATCATTATTCTGCTTGTGATTTCTCTCTATATATTATAGTTTTTTAAATAATAGCCAAGAATGGAAAAATCTAAATGCATGTTATCATTTAAAGGCAGCAACTCCTATAAGGAGTCAATCAACAAATCCTACTAATATTTGAAAAGATGTCATTATGTAATGAATAACTCTATCATTACACAGTATATCATTTATGTATTTCCATTTTTCACCATCTTGCAAGCATGAACTGTGCTCTACTTCGATTTTAAATAAAATATATTGTAAAAAGAAAGCATCTTTTGAAAAATGAAAATACTACATATATGCCTAATCATTTTACTACATATAGCTACTATATATTAGCAGATATAACTGTTTGATGTTAAATTAGGATTGTAAATCATGATTTGTGCCTCATTTATATACAATACCTTTGGTTTGGGACTGTTATTCTATGAAAGAAAACAGTATTTGTTAAACCTTCAGTTTAATAAAAGCTATAGCACTTATACCTAATGCTCCTTTTATAAAAATGAAATTATAGAAGATAATAAAAAATACACTATCTTATTTTTATTTTTATATTTTTTCTGAAGTTCTGTATCAATATATTCAGTTAAGGGCATACGATACAGTTTTGATCCCACAGTGATTATTTTACATAAATTTGCATACAAGCTATTTTTCACTTAGTTAATTCAAATATGTAACAAAAAATATACCTTCATTTTCTAAATTCAGACATAAATGGGATTGAAATTTCAGACATTTACTTAAAATTTCAGTTTCTTGTACATTTCTATCCTTTTGACAGACATACTTAACTTTCAATGTTCATGACATTTTTGTTTCAAAAGGTAAACACATGCAGATTTTTGTAAAACGATTAGGAATATATTCTTTATCAAAATATGCTCTTAATTTGCATAACAATTCTTTGAAAATAATTAATTTTCATTAAAATTTATGTACTCGTTTTCAAGCTAATGATTAAAATCCCTTGAAAATTGCGTCTTTTTCCGATAAGTCGCAGTCTGACATCGCGAAAAATAACATATTACCTTAGCAACGTCATTACCTCCACTGTAACTGTATCGTATGCCCTCAAGTTACTTCCCTTGCTTGGTTTCCAACTTCTAATACATAGAAAGCCATCCCGATATAGCTATCCTGAAATTTTTATTTATCCCACATGACCTTTCATGTGCATACTATTTGCATGTACTAATGTATACTGTATTCTGTATTATGAAATTTTTCTTTTATCATGAAATAAATTATCTTTCCTTGATTGTTTTTATATCTTTTCATGGTATTGTGCATCACAAGAAAAGTTTCTGATTATATTTAAACCAGTCTCATTCATGAAAAAAAAAACCCACATCCTACATTGTATAGTCTAATCCCTCAGTCTGGAAGACAATACACTGTTAACACAGAGATATGTCTCACCTTTTTGTAATTTTGATAATGCAAATCTTGAAATTAAAATAGCAATACTTTAACATGTAAGTTATGCATATATTCAAAGTCAATGAACCATGACTGATGGTACATAGCAAAACAATCTCCATGGAAATGAGATGTGCCAATGCTAATACAACTCCATAACAAATACCATTAACTAATCATAAGTCGTTCTCTTTAAACAAACCTAAACACAAACATTAACTTGTAAACTATGTAAAAGTTTCAAAGTCAATGAACCATGATGAGGGGGTGGGCCTATATAATCTCCATGGAAACGAGACTTGCAAATGCCTATAAATTTGCATACCAAATATCATTGACTTAACATGAGCGATTCATCTAAAACTGATCTAATCACAAACTAATACCTGTAAACTAAGCAAAAGTTTCAAAGTCAATAGACCATAACTGAGGGGGCAGGGTCAAATATTGTCCATGGAAATAAGATGTGCAAATGTTCATAAAACTGCATACCAATTAACATTGGCCTACCACTAATGGTTCCCATTGAACTGACCTAATCACAAACTAATACATGTAAACTAAGAAAAAATTTCAAAGTCAATAGATCATGACTGAGGGGGCGGAGCCAAATAATCTCCATGGAAATGAGATATGCCTATGCTTAGACCTACAACTGGTGGTTCCCCCTAAACTGACCTAATCACAAACTAATACATGTAAACTAAGCAAAAGTTTCAAAGTCAATAGACCATGACTGAGGGGTCAGGGCCAAATAATCTCCATGGAAATGAGATGTGCCAATGCTAATACAACTGCATACCAAATATCATTGACCTACCACTAGTGGTTCACCATAAACTAGACCTAATCACAAACTTATACATTGTTGACGCCGCCGCCACCACCGGAAACAGCATACCTATGTCTTGCTTTTTGACTCTGTCAAGGCGAGACAAAAATGTACAGATTATATCTAATCTAACAGTGATGAACAGATTACATGGATAATAGTAGTATCCATCAGATTTATAGCATTATAGTGTGTGCTTTATAGTTCAAATTTTCCCTACCTTTCCAGCAACCTTTCCTTCTTTCAAGTTGTCCATATAGCTCTGCAATTTTTCATATATTTTCTGAGTAACTTCATTCTCATCAACTTTTAAGATCTCAATGGGTCTTTTATTGCTAAAAAGGTTAAATGTAAGGCATAAAGACATAAAGACATATCATATAAGCTTGCTCTATAACTTTTCATTCTTTTAAAATAACTGACATTATAACTGAAATATTCAGGTATTATTCATATTTAAGGCACATTATTCACCACAGGTTCGTAAAGATCTGTTTTATGGCTCAGAGATATTTTGAGTATATTTATAGACAATGTGACCTTGACCAGTGACCTACTGATCCAAAATCAATAGGAATCTTGTTCTTTCCAAACAGCATTTTCAAACTAAATGTGGTGAAGTTTGGACATATGTTTCATATCATTTGGAATCAAAATGTTTGCCAATCTTCAGTCTATGAGTTGCTGCTTTGGCCTTGACCTTTGGCTCTGATACCAAAATAAATAGTTTTTTTTCTCCCCAAGGAGCATCAGCCAGGAAAGATTGGTAAAGATCTGATTTATTGGTTCATAAGATATTGTCCAGAAATGAAACTTTCCCCAAAATTTCAGTTTATTCATTGGCACTATGACTGTAACCTGTGATCTACTGGCCCAAAAATCAATTGAAGTCTTTTTTTCCAAGGGCCATTTTCAAATTTAGTATGGTGAAGGTTAGACATATTGTTAAAAAGGTAAATCTTGCAACAAATTTTTTCTGAAATTTATGCCTGTTAATTGCTTCTATGAATTTGTCCTTTGCGTCAGTGACCTCAACATCTATTCAAGTCCCCACGTCGATTGGCACTTGAAAATTATATATAAGACAATTGAAAAAAAAAATTATTCAACAGCAGTACAACTTATTTGTGTTATTCAGTACATCAGTCACACCAAGAGAGTCCAGTATTTACCTCCATCTTACAAATGGTGACACTTCACATTTGTCTATTAAATAATTAACAATGTTTATCATTCCATTCTCTGCAGCAGCATGTAAAGCTGTTCTTCCAGCAGAATTTGGCAGGTTCATATCAGTTTCAAGTTTAAACAATCTGAAAATAAAATGTGAAATAATACATCATATAATCTTACCTTCTATAAACTTCTAGGAATATCATTGTTTAAAAGATAACATGTGGATGCTGTGTTTATGAACTACACAGTCATAGAGAGTGTTATGTTCTCAAATTAACATACATGATTATATTTTATTTCATATTTAGACAAAAACATGTGTTGAAGATGCTGATTTTCTCACTGTTAATAATTGAAAGTTCTATTTAATGTTGTGTTAAAATTGTGATATCAAGGTTCTTCGATATAAAATTGTTAATGTTGGCTTTTGTTTTTTTTATAAACCAGTGCAAGTAGGTTCTTTATATTGAAGACTTGATCATTTTATAGTCCACTAGACACCAAATATTGCTCATCCCCAAAGATGCCATGAGGTGTCACCTGGCGCGTGCCCAACAATGCCCTAAGGCAGCACTTGGCACAACATGCGCCAAAAGATGCCTTAAAGCATTGCTTCCTGTAGGCTCAACAATGCCTCACAGCATTGCTTTTGAGGTATTTTTAAAAATCTTTTCAGCAAAGAAATGACATGGCATATGACCAAGAAAATCGACACAGTAAAGGATCGTATTATGAAATTTGTTTCTATGCTTTGTTTTGTGAAATCATACAGTTTAATTTGAATTAATACAGCAGAAACTAGGTGCAAGCTGAAGAAAATAATAATGGCTTTCTCTAGTGGAAGCAAAGAGGGTTCAAAATCCGTTTATTTCAATGTTTTTTCGTTTCAACATGTGTCTTCCCAGATGAAAATCTAAATTATATTTTAGGTGACCTAAATCTCATCTGCATGTCAATGCAAAAATTTAGGGACATTTAATCCAATGTTTCATTATGAGTTGTTGTTTTCTGATTTGGATATTCTTTTTTCCTAATTTTCTCATATCATTTATGTATGTATATAATTATATAAGGAAGACCCAAGTTTTCATTTTCTTTTTTTCCAAGTAAGATCTTTGTTCAGCCTCAAATCTGTGTCCCATGATGTCATGAAACTTAAAGCTATGACCTTTATATAAGGTAGACTTTAAATGTGACATTATGGAACTCAAATCTGTGCCCTTTGGTACCACCTCAAATCTATTTGAGCATTTAGCCATCAATGGTTCGTTCTTTATGTCAGACAGGACATGGATTTGAGGCTAGACATAGGTATGACTGTTACACATATACCCAAGCAATGGTATAATATGAACCAAATTCATCTAATAAAAGAAATTACATGAAAAATACACTGGCTATCAACAAATCAAAATCCAAGATTCTTATATAAGGTGTAATCATGTCTAGTATCCCTGCTCTAACAGAAATGAATTTGAAGAGTAAAACAAATTTGCGTAATAAATATTTTTCTAGAATGCAAGTATCCCAAAACCTTTTTTAATCAAACATAATGGTTTCTTTACCGTTTAATTGTATGTAGATCTCCTTTTTCAGCTGCTTTGATCAATTCCATAGCTTTACTTTCTCTAAAATGTGTCTTCTGCAATGTAGTAGATTGTACATACTAATGTCACATTTATCTATTCATTTCCAGTTCATAATACTATGTATTTGGGATAAAGATAAGGTTGCAACTGTGAGTTCACCTCCAAATTTTGGTTGGGTTCAAGCTGCTCAATCTTTAGTTTATGATCAGACTTTTGTAAACTGTGGTGATTTCTTTTCTTCTTTTTTTCCCTTGACCATAGTGCTGTCTGTCCATTTTGATTTATGATTTATTTGCTACGTTGATATTTTCTTACTTTGTTTTTTTTTTTAAATGTCTACCCTTTTATGAATACGTCATTAATTTACCTCTTCTCTTTTTGATTGGTATTGTTCTTTATATTTCTTTAATTTTTCCAAGACTTCCTTATAACAGTCATCATCATAATGATACTTTTTTTGTTTCTGGTGCCACTTAACATCATCCTCAGCCGATCGGTTCCATCTGTAAAGTTGGATTATAATGTATATTTATTCCTTTCATAATTACATTAATTGTATTGAAAATATATAGGATGATAGAATCTTGACACTTAACTATAGAAATTCCATATAAGTTATCACTATGACTACAACATTTAAATATCAGCTACAACATAGAATGCAAAACAAGTAACTAATCAATATCCCCATCATTGCATAAGACATCTTGAAGCTGCTAATCAAATGTATATGGCTAGGCTTATATCAAAATATCAATGAAAAGGTCTCAAAATGAGGCTATTTTGGAAGTGTTTGTAGTTTTTCATTAAATGAGATATAAATTTTTTTATCAAAATGAATTGAAGGTGCCAAAAAAGTGACTGCAACTTCTCCTTACAGACTATAAATAGCCATGAAATCTTACAGGTCCTGTCATAATTCATAGTATCTAGCCATTTGCACTTTGACCACTTTCAAACTTGATTTACTTCTGTTGGACATATTGAATACTGTATGTGAATTTATATCATCAACCAATGAAAACATTTGCAATCTTTACCAAGTTTCACTACACAGGACCGGAAATTTAATTTCGGTTTTAATGGCCCGAGAACACAGTTATTTCGTAGTGCATTTCTTTTAGACAATAAATTCAAATTAAAAAAATCGCACCTGCTCTATCTCAAAAAGATTTTTACAGTGTAGTGTACTACTATTGATACAAATAATATCAAAATTATAGAAACTTCTACCAGCTCAAACTCAAAATATTGACAATTCTGTGTTAAGGGGGGCTAAAATGCAGTTTGACAGCTTCAGACATTCTAATTTTTGACCTTTTTTAACTGGACCAAATCACTACTTAACATAAAGATTCAGCACCCAAATTTTTTTAACATTTAATTTCATCCCCTTGCTTAATATTTCATGCATAAAATATCAAGAAATAAATTGGGAAAGTGTATCAAAAAAAAATGCAAGTTATACACTGTTCACACTAGGGACTATATTTGTAGACAACGAAAACCAAAGGACGATAACTGTGTCCTTGGACCTAATAGGATAGAAAGACTTGACCACTTTTAATAAAACTTTGCATGACCTAAGCTTAGGCAATTATAAGATAGTTGGTTAAGTTTCATGGCCATAGGATATATATTATAGAAACTAGGGCCATTTTAATATTGAAATTTGGTGGTTTATTTTTGACGTTTAAATGAAATATTTTCAACTGTCAAGATTTTGACCTAAAAAATTTAAATATTGCAAAAATTTGCTTTTTAAATACTCTTGAATTTAATATAATAAGTATTAAAAGCAACGGAACACTCATTTGATTTATCAGATTTATTACAGTTATTCAAAAGTCAAATTTATATGAGCCTGTGCCTGAAAATAGAGATTTTTTAATTAAGGGAAGCCTTACATAAACATGCATTTTTTTCAACCAATTTGAAGTTTTTGAAGTTTTTTAACCATACATTATTCATCCATATATATTAAATGTACTTTAAATGTAAAGAAAAGTTACAAAAAGCATACCACATGAGTATAAAATGGTCTTAGGCCATGTAAGACTGAGAATTATTTAGAGTCGATTTAGGCCGTAGCCCATATTTACATATAAAAATGCACACAGAGGCTATAAGAAATTGAAATTTGTTACTTTTTGCTCATTTCTATGCTAAGATGTCATGATACAAGAAGTCTAATTGCAAAAGGACTCTTGAATTCAACTTTTTTTTGCAGACAGTATGGTCTGATGACCAGTTTTTCACTTTTCAATGGAAAACTTGCATGTAGTTTTAGTCTCATTTGGCATATATTTGAACCACTTACTATCCTAAAGAAGACAAGAGTGCACACGCTGAAATGTCTCGCCTTCTTTACTAATCATTGATATTATGTTGATAGTCCTAAATATAAAGCTTTATTACAACTGTCACATAAACTCAACATTAACCAAGTAAACTAAACATTGACCAATGAACCATGAAAATGAGGTCAAGGTCAGATGAACCATGCTTGGCAGGCATGTACAGCTAACAATTCTTCCATACAACAAATATAGTTGACCTATTGCTTATAGTTTAAGAAAAACAGATGAAAACACAAAAACTTAACACTGAGCAATGAACCTTGAAAATGAGGTCAAGGTCAAATAAAACCTGCGTAACTGACATATAGATCATAAAATATTTCCATACACCAAATATAGTTGAACTATTGCATATAGTATTAGAAAAAAAGACCAAAACTCAAAAACTTAACTTTGACCACTGAACCATGAAAATGAGGTCAAGGTGAGATGACACCTGCCAGCTAGACATGTACACCTTACAATCATTCCATACACCAAATAAAGCTGACCTATTGCATGCAGTATTAGAAAGAAAGACTAAAACTCAAAAACTTAACTTTGACCACTGAACCATGAAAATGAGGTCAAGGTCAGATGACACCTGCCAGCTAGACATGTACACCTTACAATCATTCCATACACCAAATATAGTAGACCTATTGCATACAGTATAAGAAAAACAGACCAAAACACAAAAACTTAACTATAACCACTGAACCATGAAAATGAGGTCAAGGTCAGATGACACCTGCCAGTTGGACATGTACACCTTACAGTCCTTCCATACACCGAATATACTAGACCTATTGCTTATAGTATCTGAGATATGGACTTGACCACGAAAACTTAACCTTGTTCACTGATCCATGAAATGAGGTCGAGGTCAAGTGAAAACTGTCTGACGGGCATGAGGACCTTGCAAGGTACGCACATACCAAATATAATTATCCTATTACTTATAATAAGAGAGAATTTAACATTACAAAAAATCTGAACTTTTTTTTCAAGTAGTCACTGAACCATGAAAATGAGGTCAAGGACATTTGACATGTGACTGACGGAAACTTCGTAACATGAGGCATCTATATACAAAGTATGAAGCATCCAGGTCTTCCATCTTCTAAAATATAAAGCTTTTAAGAAGTTAGCTAACGCCGCCGCCGCCGCCGCCGCCGGATCGCTATCCCTATGTCGAGCTTTCTGCGACAAAAGTCGCAGGCTCGACAAAAATTATGATAGCATATGAAATGAATAGGGTGTACTGATCATTGTAAAGTGTATTTTTTTACAGATTTAGTGAAATATTTGTGATGGACTACAGATTTTATGTACAAAGCTCTTCACATTTCACATACATCAAACAGGCCGTTTAACCAGGGACATAAATACAAATATTCTGCACATTTTTTCTGTGATAATCTACTTTTCTCTAGATTCCGAGTTCACAAATGGTTAATTAAATTTGATTTAAGCATAGAAACACAAATATCAGGAACATAAAAAGCTGTCAGATAGAAAGTCAGCATGGCTCTTAGGCATAAAATGGAAACTGCTTTAAAATGCTTATTTTAGCCGTATAATGCCAAAATGGGACATTTTAACAGAATTTCTGTCAAACAAAGATGTAAATCCTTTACTTTTATTGAGTTTGACAAATTGAAACCAGCAAACCATTCAGGAAAGTTGCCAAAGTACAGAATCTACATTCACGGAATTCATCTCTTAGGCCCGAGAACACAGTTATTTCGTAGTGCATTTCTTTTAGACAATAAATTCAAATTAAAAAAATCGCACCTGCTCTATCTCAAAAAGATTTTTACAGTGTAGTGTACTACTATTGATACAAATAATATCAAAATTATAGAAACTTCTACCAGCTCAAACTCAAAATATTGACAATTCTGTGTTAAGGGGGGCTAAAATGCAGTTTGACAGCTTCAGACATTCTAATTTTTGACCTTTTTTAACTGGACCAAATCACTACTTAACATAAAGATTCAGCACCCAAATTTTTTTAACATTTAATTTCATCCCCTTGCTTAATATTTCATGCATAAAATATCAAGAAATAAATTGGGAAAGTGCAAGTTATACACTGTTCACACTAGGGACTATATTTGTAGACAACGAAAACCAAAGGACGATAACTGTGTCCTTGGACCTAATGTCATTAAAACTGTACCTATCTGTTGCTTCTGGGAAACATAAGTGATGTTTTACAATAAAATCCACAGCTTTAATCTGATTTGAACATGCTGCTAGATGAAGTGCAGAACGACTGTCATAATCAACATCATCCATATCTATACAACTTTCATTTCTCAGTCTGAAATAAAACAAAATTAAGAATAATGCAATAGACAGAACGGTTCTATGTCTTCAAATATCAGTAACAACAGTATATTGTTTAAAGATGTGAGAATTAACAGCAAGGAAAAAAGCTTCCTACTCATTTGATTAAACTGAAGCCCAGATGACCATTGGATTCCCCAACTTAAGAAGCACTGGCAATGGAATTGAAGCTGTAACATTACTACAGTGTACCCCTACATTAGTTAACCAGAATATTCATAAAGTTATCCTACATTTCAAGGAAAAATTATAATAAATTTAGTTTGTTTTGGAAATAATTCAAGGGACTTGAATTTATATTGATTTTAATACCTGTTGGCCCTTTATGCTTAATATTTTATCACTAGCGACAGAGAGGTTCTTTAGTCACAGTGAGAGTTGATCGTTCAATGACGTCATTTACACCTATTTAACGTGGGTTACTCATTCATAACAAGAGGCTCTCAAGAGCCTGAATCGCTCACCTGTAATTTTTTCTTCAATCTTTCATCAATGATTATTTTTGCTTTTTAATATATATTAATGAGTGGCTTAAAAATTCCATTGAAATGTTCTTTGTATCTGTCATATTTTCTTCAAAAGCAAAGAAATACATTTTATCCCTATGTTCCATTTTAGCCATAGTGGCCATGTTTCTTGAAGTACAAGAAAATAAAACAAAATTTACACTAGATACTCTGAAACTCGTTCAGGCCATGTTTGGCTGAAATTGATTCAGCAGTTTCAAAGGAGAAGATTTTTTAAAGTAAGCAAACTAGATGAACAAATTGTGAAAAATTGTCTTTAAAGGGCAATAACTCCTTAAGGACACATTTGACAATTTTGGTCATACTAACTTATTTGTAGATCTTACTTTGCTGAACATTTTTGCTGTTCACAGTTTATCTTTATCATTAATAATATTCAAGATAATAACCAAAAACTGCAAAATTCCTTGATATTACCAATTAAGTGGCAACAACCCAACAATGGACTGTTAGATTCATCTGAAAATTTAACGGCTGATAGAACTTGGCCTAATGAACATTTTAACATCTCATCAGATTTTCTCTTATTGCTTAAGTGTTTGAGATACAAGCCAAAAACTGCATTTTACCCCTATGTTCTAACTTTAGCCATGGCGGCCATGTATTTTGACGAAACAGAAAATAAATCACAATCTTTATTCTAGATACCCTAAGGATCATTCAGCTTAAGTTTGGTTGGAATTGGTTCAGCGGTTTCAGAGGAGATGATTTTTTAAAGTTAGAAAACATGATTAACAAATTGTGTAAAATTATCATTAAAGGGCAATAACTCTTTAAGGGGTCAATTGACAATTTTGGTCATATTAACTTATTTGTAGATATTACTTTGCTAAACATATTTGCTGTTTACAGTTTATCTTTATCATTAATACTATTCAAGATAATAACCAAAAACTGCAAAATTTCCTTAAAATTACCAATTTAGTGACAACAACCCAACAATGGGTTATTAGATTCATCTGAAAATTTCGTGGCTGCTAGAACTTTACCTAATGAACACTTATACTCCATGTCAGATTTGCTCTAACTGCTTTGGTTTTTGAGATATAAGCCAAAATCTGCATTTTACCCCTATGTTCTATTTTTAGCCATGGCGGCCATGTTTCTTGACAAAACAGAAAATAAAACACAAACTTTATTCTAGATACCCTATGGATCATTCAGCTAAAGTTTGGTTGGAATTGGTTTCGTAGTTTCATCAGAAAAGATGTTTGAAATAGTTTACACCAGACGGACGACGACGACAATAGACGCCAAGTGATGGCTAAAGCTCACAGTTCCATTGGAACGGTGAGCTAAAAAGCATAGGTGTGTTCTTAAAGCCTTTGAAGACATCATATAGAATATTATTTAGAACTGCATTTAGTTTTTAAGAATTATTTTACTAAGTATGGAATGCAAATTATATTTTTCAGTCAGAGACTTGAACTTTTCTTATGCAAATGAAATCAATGTGATAACTTAGAATGGAAAACTCAAGGTACCTGGGCAATCCAAAAATATGAAGTTTACCCATAGAGTGATACCATTGGAAGACACCAATTCCTGCAGTACTACAGTAGTCTTAAATGGTAGGCAACTGAGGTATATAAAAAAAATTCGACTGAAAATTGTAATCAAAATGGAAGTAGCTATTTCATTGCCCTCAACATCTAAAAACTCTTATAGTTGTTGTTTTTCTGCATGTTTGGAACCTTTTTGAACTTCTGACTTCCTTCACTTATGATTGTAAATGCATATTATCAATGATTCATGAAAATAAGATCACAGTCAGATGAACTCTTTCAGATGGACATGTACACCTTACTATCATTCTATAAACTCACAATAGTTAACCTATTATTGATAGAATCTGAGAAACAGACTTTATCATGATAACATAAAGTAGACATAAGAACTGTGAAAATGAGTTCAATGTCAGATGAACCCTGTCAGACAGACATTTACATCATGAAAAAGATTATGTTGAAAAAATTATTCCTTTTTTAATTACCATGCCATAATTCATTAAAAAATAGATCGAGACAACAGATATTTAAGCTCATCATACATACCAGAATCAAAATTTTGTACGCCAGACATGCGTTTTGTCTACTCATCAGTCACTCTTGAATAAAAAAAAGTTGAAAAGACCAAATAAAGTATATGCCATATGGAAACCACAAACAATAAGGCATTTGTATACAAGACATGGAGTATCCAGATCTTCTTCCATCTTAAATATGTAGGTTTATACAAAGAGCTAGGCCTGCAACCATGGCCCAATTAAATCCCTATGGCTAGAATACTGAATCTTGTACTTGCCCTTCCCTAGATCTTCCATCAATTTCTTCATTTTCCATCAACACTAGATGGACAATTGATGGAAAGTTGATGGTACTTGATGGAATTCCATCCCAAACCAAGAAAATCCATCAAAGGATGATGGAAATTAGGAATATTATTTCCATCAGCATTCTTTTGATGGAAAATTTGATGGCATTTTTAACCCCTGATGGAAAATTTGATGGCATTTTTACCCCCTGATGGAAAATATGATGGCATTTATTCCATCTGATGGCAAATAGGATGGAAATGTAGGAAGTTTGATGAAAATTGGACTTAGAAATTTTCTTTGATGGAAAGTGGGATGGAAATTGGACTTAAAATATTTTGTTGATGGAAAGTGTGATGGTATTTGGACTCTGTCATTTTGCTTGATGGAGAAAAACTTAGAAAATTTCAGCAAAATTGTGTCTGAAAATTTAACATCCCTTACCCCAAGAGAAAATGAAAACGGGATCCATCAGGATCCCAATGAAATCCCGGTGAAATTGGCCGGATAAGCATCTAAAGTCAGGATCCCATTCGGGGTAAATATCTGAAACTGGGTTCCCATTCGGGATAACTGTCTGAAGCCGGGATCCCATTCTAGTTGAAACGGGATAAATATCTGAAACTGGGATCCCATTCGGGATAACTGTCTGAAGTCAGATCCCATTCTAGTTGAAACGGGAAAACATAAACCATAATTTTGTGTGGAAAAATATGCAAGTGTTTGGTAAACAGGAAGTTGTTGAGTGCTGAATCTGAAAACGCATATGGATCTATTCAAATAGTATGGTTGTTTTAACAAATATGTTTTTATCAATTTACAGCCATGTAAGTAGTCCAAATAATTATGACGTCTGGCAAGGCTAGTATTTTAATTTTTTTCTGGGACGCCTTCCTTTTTTGTCAAACATTTTTGAAATACACAATTATTTATGACATAACAGGGGCGGATCCAGCCATTTTTAAAAGGGGGGGTTCCGAACCCAGGATAAAGGGGGGTTCCAACTATATATCCCCATTCAAATGCATTGATCGTAAAAAAAAAAGGGGGGTTCCACCCCCGCAACCCCCCTGGATCTGCCACTGCATAAAGCAAAGGTTATTGGTGTTAATTAACAATGTGTATGACACCAAAGCTGTCAGGTGAAGCCAATCACTTAATGGGTCACTTAATTTGACAGTTTACACAGCTACATGTAGCTGAACTTCTTGTTCATGGATGAATTACGAATTTCAGTTTGACAGTATTTCTTAGTCTAAATAATTATGACGTCTTGGAAGGCTATTTTTAATTTTTGCTTTGACGCCTTCCTGCGACGATGTAAGGCGTCAAAGAAAAAAAATATAATAGCCTTTCAAGACGTCATAATTTATTGGACTTAGTATTTCTAAGTCAGAAATATGCTGAGATTTTCGTGATAAAAATGGCAGGGCGTTCGAGAAACGTCAACGGCTGTTTTACCAGACAAGCTGGGGCGTTTCTGATTTTCTCCAAGTTCACATAAGTGTTCTATTAATTGTTGTCCGGCATATATCAATGATAGGCCAATGATTGACATCGTAACACGTTGGTTTCTCAACTAATGTAAAATGTAAACAACATGTTTTGTTTGTAATTGTACTGAACAGTCCGACCCTAGAAAATACCGTCCTAGATAATGCAGCCACTAGTTCATCCACATGCAGCCTGTGCCGATTAAATTAAAGTTGTTTTTTCTTATATTTAAAAACTGTCTAGTAATAAATTATTTTATGCGACACCCTTGATTTATTTTTACAATACCGTTACGGGAACAAATCAACTTCTGGCCGGTATAATATGGAGCGAGATTTTCATATCGACGTTAGTGTACTGGATAAATACGTCATCAAATTCTGATTACGCTGAATATTGAGGAATACGATGCAGATGTTTTCAGATAAGTGCATTAACAATTAAAGTTAACATGTGTATATGTGTATATAATGATTATAAAAAATGATTCATTGAAGAACTAAGATTTTTTTATGGTTTTTATTTGAGCAAATCAACATCAGAAAGTCTGAAAGCATAAACTGAAAATATATTTATTTTTAACATAAAACAATGAATAATCTTGTTGTCACATAACAGGCATAACTGGTAGATATGTTAAAATTTAATTGAGTTGTGTATTTGGTGAAAATGATAAGTCGCTAGTTGTTTATCTTCAGGGGATAAAAAAGGGGGAGGGTAATTAATTTGATTCCAAATGGCTTCCAAACTTCTGTATAAACATGCAATAACATTTCTATTGAATTTATTGCTTCAAAACGTCTTGAACAATTGATTCTTTGTGGATTTTTTTGATACTTTTAGGGGATTTAATGATTTGATTAAATGGAGCTGCAAATTTTGATAGTAAACAGATTGCATGCAGATTCCAGTTACCTTTACTCAGCAATACTAGTTGGAAGTACAGAGACAGCAAATTTATTTACAGAAAGGAGAACTTAAATACATCATGTATATCCTTTCGCAACTTACGCAAGGGTAATAAATAAATAAACCAGGAATCCCAGTGGAGTCAAGTAGGTGCATGGAATTCTAGTATATCCTGCTGGGTTTTATTTCGGGATCCCCCCTTTTTTTCCGGGATATCCCAGTATATTCCAATCAAAATCCCACAATATCCCAGTATATTTCCACTGGGATTTATTTTAGGATCCCAATTTTTTACGGGAATCCCAGTTTATTCCAATCAAAATCCACAATATTCCAGTGGGATCCCAGTACATATTAAATGTGCCATCTGTTTTCCATTTATCTCTGTAGACAGGAAGTATCATGAATGTACACAGAGTTTGGGGCCAAATTAAGGGGAGCACATGTTTTTATGCATTTTCCTGCAATTACTGTAACTTATAACATGATAAAGATAAAAAATAAACAATAAATGGATATTTTTTTATATATATATAGTTATACTGTGGATTCATTTTTATTCATGGTATACCAATTTTCGTGGGTTTCGTGGGTCACAGCGAACCACGAATTTAAGAATTCAACGAAGAAATATCCTGAGAAATGTGTATGGAGTCGGATGTTTATTTCCGGTTATGTTATGCAGTTCTAGTATAGTGTTGACTTGCGATAAACATTGTAACATAACACGAGTTTTTATTGAAAGAAGATACAAGTATTTTGGTTAAATCAATAATAAATATATCGAATATCAGTGATAATTTACTTTTTAAAATTGATTAAAACTTTTCATGGAAAATAACTGCAAGCTGTTAATTATCGTGTCATAGTTTGGTTTACTGGTGATTAAAAAATCAATAGGATTAAGTACGGGGATATTGCCCGTAGGTAATATTGTTTATGACATGAACATTTATTTTCACACCTTTTACTTATATGACTGTTTATTATATCTGATTAGGGAAATGAGCTTTCAATCATAGAGTTGTGAATGCCTTATAAAATTCCGACAAGAATTTATAAATTGTAAAACAAACAAATAATTATTTGTCTCTACCCATTATTGTAATTTAAGTTTTCAATGAACACTTTAACCTAGAATGACCAAGCGAGGATTTTGACAATTCAAAACGTTTTCAATGAATTCCTTCTTTTTTTTTTTTTTTATTATTGATCAAACCAAGGATGTTATATGATCTCCTAAATCAAAAAGAAATCCACGAATTATGTATCTGAATTTTTTTTTTGTAATTAGCAATCAACGAATTTACGTATACCACGAAACGTCTTTTTTTCTCTATCCACGAAAATTGATACCCACGAAAATAAATGAATCCACAGTATATGTATAGAGCAAATATTCAAGATTTAAGTAATAAACAGTATTTATTAGGGGCACATTTCAAAGGAATCAGATTGTCACAATACCCTAAACAACCTCAACAAATTTTTAAATCTACCGGATGTTATCGTGACAATGGTAAAACATGGACCAGAGACGGATACGTAAATTCCGTGTACGTTTGCAAAGCATGAATGAGTGTATAAGTAGCTCATTCTACGTTATTTCTTCAAGAAAATATTCGAAATAAACGTGAGATAAAGGTATCAATGACAATTTAAGCATTTTTTGAAGAAATTAGAATGCATAATTAAATTTCACACCTGCGCACACATGTACTAGTTCAAACAGAGACATGTCTCTGGTTCAAACAACGTGGTTATGACGATTTTTCATTTTCACCTTTTTAATTTTTTCATCAAATCATATTTGTAAATGTATTTCTGAAAATTTAAATCTTTTTGACTAAATTAATTAGATGCAAACCGGTGAAATGTAAGAAAATAACTTTGAATAGACCGATCAATGTCCGGTTCAAAATAGTTTACCTGTCACCTGAACAAGTCAATTTCAGCTGTTCGACAACTAATTAGTCTTGATTAAAATGAGAAGGTATTAAAGTAGGGGTTGTTTTGATAGTACTTAATGATCATGTCACTTTTATGACCGGAAATGTGTGGCTGTTAAAGGCAAAAGGTTGGGTCAAAAAGATCGCGAATTATGTTAAAAATTATTATGACCGTCTCTTAAAAAAGCCTTGAAAACTAAAAAGTAGATGACCGTTTGGTGCTTTGCCCAACCGGATTTTTACTGGACATTATACAAATGTCCGGAATATATGACCATTTTGAAAGCCTTGATTGACATTGGATAGTGCAGATGTAGTCTTGACTTGAATTTAGGAAGATTGATGTTCACACATATTTTGGATTACATCTTTTGGTAAGTACAATGAATTTGAATATCCACCATTTTGAATATGTGCATGCTCTTTTAGTTCAAAATAGTGAGATTTAAAGTGTCTTCTTAACTTTTGAGAGACAAGAAAAAAATCTAAACCATAGATTTATGCATATAAATATTATTAAAATTGTGTAAGATAGGAGACATATTTTGTATCTTTTTAAGACAATCTGTTTTATAAAGAATTACTTAAAATAAGAATCTTCTAATGAGGTAATGTTGGTATTAAATTAGAGATCTGTGGTATGACTGCCAATAAGACATCTATCCACAAATGACAAAACAATATATCTTTGTATACACAACTACACACCAAAATTATGATTTAAAAAGATGGGCAAGACCCATTATCATGATTATGTTAAGTACAATGAAAAACAAATATTAAACAAAAGCAAGAACTACCACTATATTTCTTGGGACAGGCACTGTGATGATATAGTATTGACAGGAGGTTAAATGTATTCTACAGTTATGTATCAGTTGCTGTTCCAGGATTTTGAAAAGGGTGGTGGTGGTAGCAATTAAGTCAACATTAGTTGTAGGACTTGTAAAACTTCTATGCAAAAACAGTTTATGTAGCTCAAAAGCTCAAAATGGGGAGATCCACCCACCCCCTTAAATCAACATCTGAATATTCAATTTCTAAAAGGATTTGACTACTTTAAGATATTGGCCCTGCAAGTGAAACAAATTCAGGAGAAATTTGCCCTATTTTTATGTTTTTCGTCCATCTGTCAATTTGTCAGTCTGTCCCGCTTCAGGTTAAAGTTTTTGGTCAAAGTAGTTTTTGATGAAGTTGAAGTCCAATCAACTTGAAACTAAGTACATATGTTCCCTATGATATGATCTTTCTAATTTTAATGCCAAATTAAGAGTTTTGATTCCAAATTTCATGGTCCACTGAACATAGAAAATGATAGTGCAAGTGGGGCATCCTTGTACTTTGGACACATTCTTGTTTTAAAACGTGATATTTTCATTTTACAAATCCAGATGTTACAATAGATTTAGCTTTATATTTTTATAATATTTAGTTTTTCTTTTATATTCTAGATTCTTTTACTTTTATTTTGCAGCATTTGCCATCAATAAATTCACCTTTAAGGACAGCGAGTACATGATGGGACACTGAACTGAAAGATACACACATGTAACAGGACAACCTATAGATGACAGAGAAAATTTTTTTTTTTTTTATTAAATTACAGAAAATTCCATATGCGGAAAGATTTTCCTTACTCATCCATCAAGTTCCATCAGATGGTCAATTCTCCATGCATTTTTCCATTAGATGGAAAATATTCCCTCAGTTTCTGTCAGATGGCAAAAATACCATCAGTTTTCCATCAGATGGCAAAAATACCATCAGTTTTCCATCAGCTGGCAAAAATACCATCAATTATCCATCAGATGGAAAATATGCCATCAATTTTCCATCATCATGAAAAAAAATTCCATCAAACATTTTCCATTAACCATTTTCCGGTATTGATGGAAAGTTGATGGAAAGTTGTTCCAATACTCCATCAACATGATGGAATTTTACTGGCATTTTTTCCATCACAAAATTCCATCATGTTTGATGGAAAATCTAGGGAAGGGAGATTAGACAATGAAACCAACCTTTGCATTTCATCTAAATCACCTTCAGAAGCTGCAGTTAGTAGCTTAAATATCCTTATTTCATATTCTTCATTAAACACAACAAGATCCTGAAAAAGGAAAAAAAGACAATATATATAAATATAAGATCAAACTACATTCACTCTCCTCCTCCGAATCGTTTTTGAAAATTGATATTTATTTCTTAATTTCAAATAATGATGTTATCAAAAGGACAATCACTAAAGTCTCCTTTTAATCTCCAATAAAATCTATAGGTCTTTTTTTATGTGAAGGAAATTAATACTAAGAAATAAGAAATCTTTCAGGATCTTTTTTATGGTATAACTTACTATTATCCATTAAAAAATATCAACCTCAAGTATAAGTTCATGCAAAAAGATTATAATTAACTGTTGATACAGAGATATGTCTCGCCTGTCAGCATAAAACTCAGAAAAAGACAATCTGCTGGACAGCAACATTGCTAATTAATTCAAAGTAGCTGGACTAACTAATGGGTATGGCCTCGAAATGGTTGACAAACTGAGAAGTACAAACAGCAATGTAACTCTATAGAAAATATTGTCTATTGTAAGAAGTTCCTGTCAAACTAACTTAATCATAAAACTTTACATTGAAAATTGTTAATTGATTGATAGTCACTGGACCATGTCCTAGGGGACAGGGCCTTTAATTGTTATCAAACTGATATGTACTGATAGTAATGCAACTTTAGAGAAAATATCATTGATCTATTGCAAGTAGTTCATTCATATCAAACTAACTTAAGCAGAAAACTTAACATTCAAAATGGCTAATTAATTCAAAGTCACTGGACCATGGCCTAGGGGGTGGGGCCTCAAAATTAACGTCAAACTGATATGTACTGATAGTTATGCAACTTCATACAAAATATCATTGATCTACTAGAAGTACTTCCTATCAAACTAACTTAAGCAGCCGTAGCTGGAAAAGCAATCCCTGTCTCACTTTCTGTTTCTGCGACTTTCGTCGCAGGTAAGACAAAATTACTTGTTGGAACATTAAGAAACAAATGTGTAGTATATCATATGCATATTTGTCACACTCTTAAACTTTGAATATGGTTGAGTTTATTTGAATGATGCAAATACTGTATGAGTTCATCATTTTTACCTTTTTCAATAATGGTATTATTTCATTACAATGTCCCATTTGAATTTTTTTTATGTGTGTGTTTGTTTAATCACTTTGTAATTATTTGTTTTTTTATGAGGGCCTTAGGGAAGATTAGTTTTACAGCTAACTGTGTTAACCTATTTAAATAAAAAAATAATATTATCATTTATGCTGTCCCTCAATCCGGCAAAGAATATAACAGTGGCAAAACAAATGATGCAAGAAAAATAGAAAAGAAACTCTTCTTATGAAAAAGTTGACAAAATCAAAGTAAAACAAAGCTGGTAAAGAAACTGATTGAAAGTTATTTGGAAACATATTTAAAGAAAGTATTTGCTAAACTGTATTATTAGAAATATATATGCAAAAACATGATGTTTTATGTTCATTATTTATCAAGATAATTGCATTAGATAGAAGCTTGTAATATTGAAATTTTAAAAAATATTAATCTTTGCTGCATATTGAAAAAAAAAAAAAATTATGTACAAATGTATATACAAAATCTAAAGCTATTTCAAGTCGCCAATTTTCTGAGTTGCATATAATCCTTAAATAGCATGTTACAATTTCCAAAAATATATCTATTTTTAGCATCTAAGTTTTTGTATACACTTGACACATGAACTTTCAATGTAATTTTAAGAATAGATCATCATAATTTTTATATTTAGACCTAGAGTCTTCTGAATGTATAAATTTAATGTTTACATATAGGGATAAGGTCAGTTTGAATTTGCTAAGTAACTTAATTTCAAAAGTTAATCAAAGCGCGAAAGCGCTGTAAAGGCAGTTAATTACAGGTTGTGTGTATTTTTAGTCTAGTTATATCATTATCTTGCATAGTACATTGTACTTATCAGAGGTGGCTTTCAGTATTTAAGATTTAGAGTTCTCTAATGATATTGAACAAGTTTTATGAATGTCATATTCTGAGCACTATATGAAGGCGATTGTTCTCACTTGTTTATGAACTAGTGCATTATGTCCAGTTTGTACCTTTTTTATCTATGTTTATAGTCAAATACTGTTTAAAATAGTTTGGCATTTTCTTTTAAGTAATAAGTAAATGTTATCAACTGTATTTTATTCAACTTTGCAAATGTGGTTTGTTACTGGTAAGTACAATGTATGGATGATAGTTGTTTCATTGGCAATCATAACACATCTCCTTATTTATATAATGATCTATATTCAACGACCTCAGGTACAAAAAAAATGTATGTAACTAAACTATGATGGGAAACCTTTGACTTCTTTCTTTAATATAAACTTTTGATTTGGTACCATAGAACTATGTAGAATAAATGTACATTGCAACATGTCAACTCTTTCAATGACAATACTTTTTTTAGAAACTATAACTCCAAGCAAAATTATATTTCCAAGTATAAAGTAATTTATGAATGAAACAAAAGTGCACACGCTGAAATGTCTCGCCTTCTTTACTAATCATTGATATTATGTTGATAGTCCTAAATATAAAGCTTTATTACAACTGTCACATAAACTTAACATTAACCAAGTAAACTAAACATTGACCAATGAACCAAGAAAATGAGGTCAAGGTCAGATGAACCATGCTAAGCAGGCATGTACAGCTAACAATTCTTCCATACAACAAATATAGTTGACCTATTGCTTATAGTTTAAGAAAAACAGACCAAAACACAAAAACTTAAAACTGAGCAATGAACCTTGAAAATGAGGTCAAGGTAAAAAAAAACCTGCGTGACTGACATATAGATCATAAAATATTTCCATACACCAAATATAGTTGAACTATTGCATATAGTATAAGAAAAAAAGACAAAACTCAAAAACTTAACTTTGACCACTGAACCGTGAAAATGAGGTCAAGGTCAGATGACATCTGCCAGCTAGACATGTACACCTTACAATCATTCCATACACCAAATATAGTAGACCTATTGCATACAGTATAAGAAAAACAGACCAAAACACAAAAACTTAACTATAACCACTGAACCATGAAAATGAGGTCAAGATCAGATGACTCCTGCCAGTTGGACATGTACACCTTACAGTCCTTCCATACACCGAATATACTAGACCTATTGCTTATAGTATCTGAGATATGGACTTGACCACCAAAACTTAACCTTGTTCACTGATCCATGAAATGAGGTCAAGGTCAAGTGAAAACTGTCTGACGGGCATGAGGACCTTGCAAGGTATGCACATACCAAATATAGTTATCCTATTACTTATAATAAGAGAGAATTCAACATTACAAAAAATCTTAACTTTTTTTTCAAGTAGTCACTGAACCATGACAATGAGGTCAAGGACATTGGACATGTGACTGACGGAAACTTCGTAACATGAGGCATCCATATACAAAGTATGAAGCATCCAGACCTTCCACCTTCTAAAATATAAAGCTTTTAAGAAGTTAGCTAACGCCACCGCCGGATCACTATCCCTATGTCGAGCTTTCTGCGACAAAAGTCGCAGGCTCGACAAAAAGGAGTTCTTACTTAAGTAATAAACTGATTCGCTGAGCGCAGCTGGATACACCCACAGAGGTCCAACCCTGAACAGTTGGAGCAAAAATGGACACAATATTCAAGCTTGATACAGGTCTGAATTTGGATTGTAATTAAATATTTGACATATTATAGTTTCTGAATAAATGTAGTCAAAGAACTTGAAATCGGTTATATGAATTGAATTTATTTTCAATTAAAGATTTCTTGCTGTTGTGCAATACACTGTGCTGTTGCGCAATACTTAATAAATCTGTTGCCAGACTATAAACAAATAAAGTTCAATTTCTTCTCAATGTCATATTTGAAATTTATGAAAATCAATAGGGAGATTACATCAATAGCTATAAATAATTCACCAAAGTTTCATGCGAACTGCTTAAAGCATTTTTGAGTTGTTGTCCAAAAACTGGAAAATCCCCCCCTTTTTAATGAATAAAACCCCATAACTCAGAAATGTAAAATCTAAAATTTATAAAATTCTAAAGGGAGCTTACGGATTGATAATTTAGTCTTAGATGCAAAATTTTTTATCAGTTGTTTGTGGCTTTGAACTAGCTGTCAGTAAATGCGAGTACTCTCAGATCTGTACTTAGTGTCTTTTTGTTGTTTGGATGTACAACTACCCGGCCACGTCCACTTGTATTTGTATTTATCCATCTGATGAGTTAAGCCTCTTTCAACTGATTTTTATAGTTCGCTCTTATATTGTACTGTTACACCACTGTCCCAGGTTAGGGGGTGGGTTGGGATCCCGCGAACATGTTTAACCCCGCCACATTCTTTATGTACATGTATGTGCCTGTCCCAAGTCAGGAGCCTGTAATTCAGTGGTTGTCGTTTGTTTATTTTTTGTACATAAATTAGGCCGTTAGTTTTCTTGTTTGAATTGTTTTACATTGTCATTTCGGGGCCTTTTATAGCTCACTGTGCGGTATGTGCTTTGCTCATTGTTGAAGGCCGTACTGTGACCTATAGCTGTTAATTTCTGTGTCATTTGGTCTCTTGTGGAGAGTTGTCTCATTGGCAATCATACCGCATCTTCTTTTTTATATTTACATCAACAGATATAAACAATTCACCAAAGTCAAGGTGAGACAACAAAACTTAGTTGTAAGATCTCTGAAATTTTTTACACGGTACAAGTTTTTCTAATTGTTGGAGATTGTATGGTGACACTAACACCTGTAACTGCTTAACCCATTTCTTATGCACTTCGGTTCGATAAACTCACTGAATATCATACGATTACCACATCTCCTTATTTTTATATGCATGCATGTAATTGTAAATAATATTTATATATATATATCAGAACAAACTTCATTGCGTCACTTTTATTTATGCATCCTTTGGCACAATACAAGTTCTAAAATTACACAACATAAAACAACTAAATGTTATTTCAGATGAAAGTTTTGTTTCAGTTCCATTCATAG